CATGTCTTGGCCCTTGGAAAACTCGTCACCTTCATTTCTAACGGTTTGCCCTAAAGACTGATCATCCCACAGAAACGCCTGACTAAATTCTGAATTTTGTTTTACGTGAACTTCATTTGTGTAGGACTCCATTTTGAATATAACTTATATTATAATTTTTGTTTCAGAATTACTTCGTCCTTCACATACAAAATGTTGCGTTTAAATATATAAACCTACTGTACATATAACTTTCTTAAAAGATGTACTTCAAAGGAGTCAAGGAAGGAAGATATTATGTCAAAGCAGAAGCATAATAAAACTCGAATTCTACTGTTTTTCAGTTATGACGCAATTACTAATACCAACCACAGAGACCTACCAACCTCGGGATGATAGACGCCATTTCACGGACTGTCAAATGTTGGTACTATCTGTGGTAGTATATACATCATGCCTGATGAAAGTAAGGTTCTCACGGCTTGAGTGCAATTGGTTCAGTAATTGGGCATTCATATGCTAATGGAGGATTATTGTCACAAATAAAAACAAAGCTTCTTCTTCTATGACTCCAGCCTGTATTTGGTCCATGGCCTCAATTCTCCTCTTCCATTCGGTCCTCTGTTAGATCCGTGTGTCGGAGGCTGTGATTGAGGTTTCGATACATCTTCCTTTTTACGGTATAATGATAACCAAACACAGCAATAGAATAAACTCTGATTTCATATAGCACTATGTTTATCTTAATTTTGCTATATTGCAGACAGTTTCTGCTAGAAGTGCTGACACACTTATGTTTCTTTCCAGAAAATTGGATGTTAGTGTGGTTAAACATAAGAAACCTCAGTCTAGAGGAAAGAAATGTTCAGAGAATCCTCTGCTGTTATCCTCAGAAACATCACTGTCACACTTGAGCATGACCCCCATCATCTGGTAAAAACAGCAATACAGTTTCCTGACCAGTATCTGACTGTTTCTGTGCAGTCGCCACCTATCATTTGTGACAAGTGACTGTACAGTCACTGGCTACCAGAATGATTAGGTGACTGACTGGTACATGTGCCAGTACATTTTCTCTCCATTATACGTGAAATCAAATTTATTAAACAATATTAATTTTCTAAACAAGAAAGGCCAGAAACATTACACTTAGTAATACTGTTGTAATACAGATGATCCTGAACCAGTCTCATCTACTTCCTATCCTCAGAACATATGTCCATAAGATCCATTTTGATGCTTTCCTCTCACCCCTGCTCTGTCTTTAAATGCGTGGTTTCCATGACATTTCCCTACTAAAATTGTCTGATTTCTTGTGTTCCATCTAAGGTATATATCCAGCCTTTCAGATTTCACTATCCTAATAGAATTTGGTGGCCCTATGTAAATTGCAAGGTTTGTTGTGTAGTGTCCTTAATTGCTAATTTTTGTGATCATTTTATGTTCAAAAACTTGAATTTTGTGTTCTCACTCATGTCACCCAGAGTGCAAGTGTATCTTCATAAATTTCAAAATGATCTCTTAATAGTTGACTGTTATATATTATTCACTCAAAACTGAATTCTACTACAGATTAAGATAACACACAAGTTTTTGTGATAGCTAATAATCAAAATACTTCTTTTTATGAAGTTTGTGGTTGTCTTGTATTAGTATGCCATACCATACCGTTTGGCGCGCTAGTTCGAGTCTCGGTGGAGAAGAAATTTTCTCATGAGCTTTCGACCAGTGTATGGGTCCGGTGCCAATCCAGCATCCTGAGGAAATTGGGGAGCTACAATGAGTAGCGTAATCTGGTCAGGAAAGCTAGCAATGGCTGGGGGTTCGTCCTGCTGACCACACGTCACCCTATATTTGGTTGGATGATTGTTCACCTCTGCTTAGGCATGTGAACGCGAGGCCAGCAGGCAAGCTAGTCGCCTTTGGCTCTCTGGAACTGTTATGCCACGGATTTAATTTAATTTACTGTACTGTTTAACAAAAACTGAAGTGTTTCTTGGTACTGAAGCATTAATTTTTTTCATGGTGCTTTTTAAGGTTTTGAAATATTAGACTTTGCAGGTATGTTAGTAGTACATGTACATATGTTACATGTCAGTTGTTGTGAAATCAAAACAATTTGCCCAGTTTATAAGTTATTTTCCATTTTTTTTTTTTTAAATAGTTTAATTACGTTTCAGAGATCTCTCACTATACAGAGTTTGAAGACCATGCATTGAAAAGTGCTAGTGTTTTGCTCACATCATAAGTATACATCTTAAAACGTTACCAATTACTTCTTTTCACGTTTATTTTTTCAGTCTAACACCATCTGGTAATGTGTGATCCAATTTTTTGTGTCAGTACCATAAACCTGTAATAAACACATTCCTTTTATCGGACACCCTTTTAACTACGTAGGATGGGCGGACAATTGTGAACCTGGAATTATAAAGAATGTGGAACTGATAATATTTTTCCAGAATTTTAGGTGGAGAAAAAACCACAAAGATTTCAGACAAAATTGCTGCTCTACGGGCTTACAACTGAACCTAGCAATGACTCACCAAACTGACAAACACAAGCAGTGAATGTGGAGATACCTCTTCTTCAGCTCGACGTCCCCATCGGAACTCAAACTTTCAAGGATCGAGCTCAGGTATACGAACATGTTCTAGATACATTTGACGTATAAATTCCTAATGAAATTAGATAATAATCTGTTATTAAAATGTCATTCAATGTTTTCACATTTGTCTTAATGCCAGTGTAATTTTTAAATTAATATTAATACTAAATTAAAACAAGAGATAAATTTTCAACTTACTGATGATCAAATATGTTTCAACCCTTGAAAGGTCATCCTCAAAGGTGGCATCTGTTAATTTATTATAATGCAAGCAACTCAGGGTTTAAAAAGGTGGCCATGATTTACAAAAATACACAAATACACCACACTTCAAAGTGTACTTCAATAAAAATCATTGTTCTACGACCTCTGCTAAAATATAATATTGGTATAAGTAATCTCATGCTACAATATGGCTTGACAGAAACATGATGGATAATATTAAAATGGATCTTAGGTGGTGTGTGAGGGTATAGACTGTATTAAGCTGGCTCAGAATATGGTCTAATGGGAAACTTTGTATTCTTCGGTCCTCGTCTGAAGGTCAAGTACTTGAAGTGAGAGAAAATAAGAAGTGCCTTGTATCTAGTATCTGTCTCAGATAGCTTTAGTTTCTGCTGGAAAAGAAATGGGTTATTGCCCTTTGAATAAGGCAGTCTGTATTTTACATCTCTCTTATCTTACATTACCAGGTTCAGATACTTCCCTGCAAATTGGTGCAAGGTTTAAGTTGAGAAACTTATCATAAGATGAATAAACTGGCATTTAAAATTTGCGTATAAAACTTAAGCTTACTGTCTTAAACTTTTGATTTGCATTGCACATATTTCGACATGTGGCACAAAAACTATTTGCTTGTGGGAAAGGATATTCACAGTCAGCGGAAGGAATTACACAGATTGAGGGTAAGATTTCATGTTCACACGGCGACAGATACGAAGATTCCTGTCTTCTGGGATGTCGCGGCCTTCACTTCTTCACTGTATTCAATGGCGTGATCCGATGGGAAGATGTTTCCACAAATTTCGTATCTATTAATTCCAGACCGAAATTACATTGTTTGCCGAAATGTTGGTTAACATGAAACATTCAACACTCGCAGAGAAAACCTATGGACTAGTTTATTTCTCATATCTGTGCATTGTAAGGCAGAAACGTTATCGCTGACTGTAAAAGGACGCTCATAGCATTGACCGCGTTTATACAGACGTGTGAAGCACTATTAGTAGGATTGTTTCAAGCTAGTTTCCTATACAATCAGGATGTGTGATGAACAATTTTCATACCTTAAGAACATTCTGGAGTCTGCTGCAACAAGAGTGCCAAAAATTATATTGCACAGAGCTGAAGGAATATTTCCATCTCTGAAGGGTACCTCTGTGAGTATATAAAAAGAAACACAACTAATAGTTATATAAAAAGGTCTCAAGTCGTTATGTTGTAACGTGGTTGAAAATGATTCCCGTCTTGTGTTCATTATGTTATGGCAATCATGAGCATAACCGCTACACAGTTAACAGTGTGGAATTATCCTTCATAAATGAAAGAAGGTATGTATGTATCTATGGGGATGGAATGTGAGATGCTTGTGTAAGAGGATTGGCATCAATACTCCAGTAAATTTCTTGTTCCATCAACACAAGGTTAATGAATTTTCTTGCCACACATAACATTTAGGCAGTTTTTTATTTTCTGGAAATTTTTATGTGAAAAAGATTTGTGAGATACAATTTTATCCAGAATATACTCAGTATTAGCTTGAGGGCACCCCATATTCTATTTCAGAATATGGTATTGTAGATTCTCATCCAGTTTATACCTGCATTTATTGCATACCATCTCAAGGAATTATGTTTGACTCATAATTTTACAGCAGAATATTAATAAAATCAATATAGAAAATGATGTGGATGTTCTGAGTGAAGAATCTTTTGGCGTGACAAATGATGAGGTTTACACACCCTCAACTTTTCCCATAGTAAAGGATGAATGGAAGGTAAGTGTCCTTTTAACCAAGTTAATCCATATGACAATACAGAGTGAAAGTAAGCAAGGTAAACTAGCTTTAAAGTATCTATTGTCATGAGTGGTACGACTGTTCTCATGGCAAAGCATGCAGAGCTTAATTTGGGAATAATATACTCAATGTGTTTCTTCCAATTTAAGGTACTGTCGACTTGTAAGCCAAGGAATTTGTTTGTTTCAACTTCCACAATTAATTTTTCTTCAAAACCTATATTTAATCTAGGATATGTCTTGTGCTTAGTAACAAATTTTATGAAGT